AGAAGGTCTATTTTCAAGGAGGGGCCAGCTTGGGCAAAGAGAAGGGAGCAGGAAAGCACAGGTGCTTGGATCGGAATGGGGGTACAGGGTGGTTTTAGCTCAAGATGGGAGACTGTGAGAAAGATGTGGTCAGGTCCCAGTTTGGAACGCCAGGCTGAGAAGTCAGACCTTTATTCTGAAGTAAATGGGGAGCCACAGAAGGATGTTGAGCAGCAGCAGCCATGCACTAAAACCCTTGAGAGGGTTAATGGCATTTAGAATGTTTAGTGAGAGAAAGGACTATTTTGTTTGTTTGTTTTGCTATAGGGCATATGTGCTCGTCAGACAGAGAGAGACAGAAAGCGAGAAATCACCCCCCAGGGGGGATGGTCACGCCACAATCCCTTCTCCTCCATTCTCCTCTCGGGATCATGGGCACGCGCGCACGTGCGCCCAGCGTGAGTTTTAAGCCACCGGGTCCGGAACGCGAACCTGGTCGACTACGTGGGAGTCCAGCAACATAGCCATTATGCTAACTGCTGGTCCCAATGAGAGAAAGGACTGTTTAGGGTTTTCCTGCCCCTGGCAGCCTTTCTCACTCAAGAGTAATGTGGATTCTCCCACAGCCCTAGGGGGAGAGATGAGTAATGCTGTGACCATTTTACAGGAGAGGAAACTGAGGCCCACTGCAGGACGTGGGTCTCTGTGGGTAATGTGGCTCAGTGGTGGGAATGAACGCCCCACTTCAGTCACGGCGCTGGGGGGTGAGGACCAGGGATCCTATTCTTCCTACCCACGATACTCATCCACATTCACGAACAGAATCAACACAGGGCTGTTTAAAATGTGGATTCCAAGGCCAGCAGAGGACATGGTGATTGGGGCGCTGGACTCCCACATGGTCGACTACGGTTTGAGTCCTGAACCCGGCGACTCGAAACATGCCAGGCATGTGTGTGTGTGTGCCCCAAATCTCAAGAGGAAATTGGAGGAGAAGGGATTGTGGCGTGGCCATCCCCCATGGGTGGTGATTTCTTGCTTCTGTCTCTCCAGTGAGACACATGCCCTATAACAAAAATCTCTCAAAAAATTAAAAAAAAAAAAAAAGTGGATACCAGGGCCCCAAGCAGTTCTGACTTGGCAGGTGTGAGCTGGACCATGAACTGCAATGTAAATAAGAATCCCTCAGGGACCCAAGGTCTGGGTATGCTTCAAGAGTAAAAGGGTCCAAACCCACCAGCCAGCCTTCCCTCTCAGGGTCTTCTCCCTGAGGGCTGCCTCAGCCCAGCTCAGCCCTCTTCCCCAGTCACTGCCTCTGTCTCAGCCAGTCCTTTACACAGCAGCCCCAGTGAACTTTTTCTAAAGAGCAAACCTGCCCTTCTCACCCCTCCCTCCCATGGCTCTCCATCACCCACAGGTGAGAGGCCAGCTCCATGACCCTTCCAGCCCAGCTCCAGAGAATGCAACACACCTGCCTTAGTGCCCTGTTCTGGCTCTTTTCCTGTGTCCCTGGGAACAGTGCCTCACTCCTAAGCTAGCACGCCTGTGAACCTTCTTATTCTTTTTTTTTTTTAGGGTTTTTTTTTTTTTTTTTAATATAGGGTGCATGTGGGGAGAGAGAGATAGAGACAGACGGTGAGAAATCACCCTCCAGAGGGAATGGCTACACTGCAATCCCTTTTTCTCCATTCTCCTCCTGAGATTTGGGGCACACACGCTGCACTGTTTTTTTTTTTTTTTTAACTTAATTTCTTTAATTTAACTAGCATCACCTTTTAGATGCTGATTCTGTTGCACTTTTTTAAAATTTAAATTTATTTATTTACATTCACTTATTATACATCATTATAGCATACAAAATGAGATTTTTCCATCCAGAATACACTGTATATTGGCTCAATCAAGCACATCAACATACATGTTACTGTCAACAAATAATTTTCCATTTCTTGTTTCCTGTATATTTTGCCTTCCCCCCCTTTACGCTGCACTATTTTTTAAAAGAATTATTTTTTTAACTTTATTTATTATTATCATTGTTATTTTCCAGTTTGATCAGAGAGAGACAGAGAGAGAGAGAGAGAGAGGAAGTGAGAAAGCAAGCCACCAGGCCTGAGACTCGAACAATGTCGGCCATGTGGTAGTCCAGCGCCCTTAACCACCATGCCACTTGCCAGCCCCTACGCTGCACTATTTTTAAGCCATGGGTCAGGGGCTCAAATGCAGTCAGGTATCTGGGAGTCCAAGGCCTTAACCATCATGCCACCTGCTGGCTCTGAGCCTTCTATTTTCGTACGTAAACCTGCGGCAATACTTTCAGGACTGGCTGGCTGAGGTAAATGCTATTAGTAATGGGGAAACTGAGGCTCAGAGAGCCAATGCCTTGCCCTAGGCCCCTCCGTTGTAAAAGGCGAGATTCGAACTCCAGGCAACCCAAGGAGAGTTCCCTTCCTGTGGCTGCCAGCAGGGGTACGCGAAGCCCAGGGGAGTCAGGAGGCAGGCGGTGGGGGTCGGAGCGGGGGCGCTGGAAGAACGGGGGCTTTGATTCGCATCTCCCGGCGCAGACCCAGACGCTAATTAAAATCGCCTGGGCCGCGGGGGCGACGGGGCGGGCACAAGGCCGGCTTTGAGCCGGCAGCGGCGGCGCTGGCGGGCGCGGGGCCGCGCGGCACAGGGGCCGCTTGTGGGAGGTGTTTGTTTTTGCTCGTAAAGCGCAGCCTCTCAGCCCTGCCCGGCCGCAGGGGGGCCAGCCGGTTGAGGGCCCCTGAGGCCATGGCCGCCCGCCCTGCCTCACCCTGCTGCACTCAGCAGGCCACTCTGCTGCGCTCGCCTCCTTCTCGGGGCCTCAGTTTCCCCTTCTCTTACACAGAAAGGATAACATAGCAGTAAGGCCAAGAATTGCTTTTCCAGGCCCTGGGCGAA